CCACACACACACACATCCTAAAAGTGGTCCAACTCTATGAACTCCATGTGAAAATCCTGCTCCAGGTCGGCCTGGCACCTCATTGTTTCCAGGGAGCATAATCTCACCACAAAAGTTCAAGCTTGGTTAATGCATTACTTAGCCTGGAGTATCTTCTCATTTCTCCATCTATTAAGCTACAAATACAATTTTACTCAACTATAAAGCTCAGCAAAGTCAAACTTCTTTGATGAGATCGTTCATAATGATGGGGTATCTACAATTCTCTCTTTCTTCTTTTTGGTGTTTAGTGTTGAAAAAAATCATTTGAGCACCTTATTACATTGGTAGATATGTCTATTTCCTTATCAATAAGATTCTGAGTTTAACAGTAGAAGCTCAAACTAATATTCTAATACCTACTGATTTACAGTGTCTTTTCTACTCCCACTGGAAGAAAAACAAGGATGTCGAAAAAATTAATTGTAGTAGGTCAGAATGAGATTAAATTACAAAGAACTTATTGAGCATTGAGAATTGCAGACATCTGAGGCCAGACATCTCTTTCAAGAGGGAAATTAAAATTACATAGGCATTGTAATTACCTCAATGTCATGGAATAAACCTCAGCTCAGATAAATTATGAAAGAAAATGTTATTATTGTGGAAGTATATTGTTCCTCTACTTATAATAGAAAGGATTTTTGCCAGCCACTATATGGTGTAATATTAAAAATAAGTATAAAGCATTTCTCTGCAGAATGCACATGTCATCCTACTTAATTTTTACAGGAAAACTATGAGTTGGCATCATTGTAATCATTTTTCTTTGATAAAACTTACTAATTTATATTTTATTTGAACAACAGAACTACAGAGGGAGAAGGAAAACAAAACAAAGAGAGAAAGAGAGAGCATTTTCCATCCACTGGTTTACTTCCCAAGTGGTCACAATGGCTGGAGCTGGGCCACTCTGAAGCCAGTAACCAGGAGCTTCTGCGTCTTCTAAGTGGGTGTAGGAGCCCAGGGACTTGGACCCTTTCCCAATGCCTTCCCAGACCAATAGCAATCCAGGGAGCTGTATTGAAGTAGAGTACTCACTTTGGCAGCACATATGTTAAAACTGGAAGTGGAGCCACTGGGACTTGAAGCAGCACCTTTACGGAATGCTGGTGCTGCAAGCGAAGGCTTAGGCTGCTATAACCTGGCACTGGCTCTTTACCTTTTTAAAATAAGGAAATTTCATGTAGGCATTTGGTGCAGCAGTTACCATGCCATTTGGGTTGCCTGTATCTCCTATTGCAGTGCCTGGGCTTGAGTCCTGTCCCCATCCCTGATTCCAGCTCCCTGTAATGCACATCTTGAGATATGGGAGCCTCATCTGAGTTCCCCGCTCGTGGCTTCAGACTGATTTAGCTTCAGATACTGCAGGCATCTGAGGGGTCAACCGGTTGGTGGGAGAGCTGTCTCCATTCAAATCACTGAAATTATGACAACTAAGAACTTGTGGAAGTAAAACAACACTCCAGGTCACACAGTCCAAATCAGTGGCAGAATGAGGATAGAAAATCAAGTTCACATGGTCTTAATTCTGCATCTTGGCTAAGCAACTGTTACTGGCACAGAGACCTGTTTTGTTATAAATGGAGTACTTCTCTTTCCAATCTATGGAACTGGAGCATAGTTCCATGAAGAAAGTGACCTATATCTCTGTGTATTATTTTCACAAATATAGAAATAGTTTTAAAAGATCAAGCACAATTCCAAAGGAATGCAATTTTTGTACATTTTTTTTAATGCCTGGAAATCACTGGCAAGTGAATAAAGGTAGGGCAGCGGTATCCATGGGAATGGCCTGGTATGTGAAAAATAACACCTCTGACTTATTGCTCAGTTTCTGTTCTGTTAGTACTAAATTTATCAGTCTCCCAAGTGATAAAACTACCCAGTGAAGGGAGTGCCTGTTTCTGCTTAATACTGATTTGTGATGGAAGGATTTGATTTTCTCTAGCTCATGTGTCTTTCAGAATCATCCAGATATGACACCTAATTTTAGATATATTATACATTATATTATATATGGTTTTCTAAAGGACTCAAGTAAAAGGCCAAGAAAAAGAGTCACTCCAACAGAACAGCAAGCTTGTCAAGTCTACTGAAAGCTAGCAAGTCACAGATTCTTGATAAACAACACTGAGCTGATCAGAATCTTTGCTATGCAGTATTGTTTGATCATGTTGAAATCAGGATATCAGACTTCCGGTGAGATGCTTTATGTTAAAAATAACTAAGCTTGCTTAAATTGGCACATTTGTATAAAAGGCATGTCCTTTCAGAGTATAATTTTTGAATACTCAGCATGTAAGTCAAACTTACCTACTCTCAGTACCTTGTCTTTGAATAAATGAACATTCAGCTACCTTGGGATTCTCATTTTAACTCCATCCATGACATACAAAGAGAATTCTAAATGGCTCCAGGTATATACAGACAAAACTTAGGGGATGGAAGCAAGCTGTACAGGACAAGAGAGAGAGGGACATCTCCCCCTCCCTGCCATCTGCAAAATGGAAGGACATCAAGTACCAGATGACACTGAAACATCAATTTGACCCTTCTCTGTGACTAGTCAGAAAGCCTGGGGCTAAAAAACAGCAATTTAAGATATAAATGGATAATTACCCATCCTGAAGACTGAGATTAGGGGAAGGAATGACAAAAGGGAAAGTATTTGTGAAAAAGTGCCTACAGAATTACGGAGAAAAACTTAATTTTTGATATATGAATAATATGTACCTAGATATTTTAAAGGAGATCCATTTTTAATTTTAAGAGACACATTTTTCTTCTGTGTCCAAATCCTTCCTAAGCAGGATTCCAGCTCTTCTATGTACTAGCAATGAGATGCTGGGTAGATGATCACTTTTCAGGGCTCTCACTTAAAATGGGCATAAGGAGGGCAAGTGGTTGGCCTGGAGTTTAACACACCAGCTGAGCAGAAGGGCAGGTGAAGCAGGAGGGAGAGGAAGAGGACTCTTCCGTCCACTGGTTTATTCCCTACATGGCTGCAGCCCCCAGGGCTGGGTCATACCTTAGCCACAGCCAGGAGCTTCCTCCAGTGGGTCTCCCACATGGGAAGCAGAAGAGCAAACACTTGGGCCATCTACCCCTGCTTTTTTTTCCAGGCCACTAGCAGGAAGCTGGATTGGAAGTGGAACAGCTGGGACATGAGCTAGTGCAATTATAGGATGCTGGCTTAGCAAGCAGTGGCTTTAGCTACTATGTCACGATGCTAGCCCCCTTGTTTCAATATCTTAGGCTATGTTCCTCTATAATTCTAATGCAGTATCTAATGCAATATCAACACAGACTGTTAGGTATAAACTGCCTTGGAAGTCTAGAGTTTTATAAATTTATTAAAGAGGGACTAAAATAGCTATCAACTATAATAAATTCTATTGTTCCCAGAAGGTGTAGATAAATATCAAGGCATAATAATCTATTTCTGTCTGCTATGACCTTTGATGATGCATATCTGCTGAAAAAGAGTAGAATTATTCCGTACTGAAGAGCATTTTGGCTTCTACTTGAATATATTTTTAATGAGCAATTTCTAACGACATTTTATTTTTGCTACAGTAAGTCATCTTCAGTTTGTTTGGGCTTGATGTTTCAAATAATTTAATAGAAACTCTCACTCCCATGGCACCACAGAGATTAATACAGCTGTGTCTGAAGTCTAAGTGAAACTGTTTTGGCCATGTCTGTTTCCCAAGGACATGGCCATGTTCTACCTAAGTTAGGTGGAGAACAGATAGGGCAGTTGTAATATTCACGCTGTGATTAATGCTCTCTGAAGGCACAATGCTTTCTAGCAACTCCTGTTGTTTGTTTCAGTCCACTTGGGAAAATCAGGATATCTTAGCCTGAATATTTACAGAAGCTTACACAACATTGTCAGCAGCACAATTTAATTTACAAACACTCCCTAGGAACCTAACCTTTTCAAAAGTATTATGATAGAAACCATGGAGGACATTAAAGAGAAAGAGGAGGTGTGGAGCAAGAAAGCCTTGGAATATTTCTGAGAATAGAGAAGGAGAAAATATAGAAAAAAGAAAGCAGTTGAAGGAAGAGAGGAACAAAAATAAAATGATGAGAAGTTATCCATTAGCCTTTCTTGCTCTGCATCTACTTTTTCTGCTGTATCTGGCTCTACAAGTGCTTTCACTAAACTTTAAGTAGGGTCTTCCTTGCCCTTGCATCCTGAAGGCAACTCTACTAGTAATGCATTAAAGTGGGATTGTCAACACCGAGTACTTTGAAGGAATCCCTCCTGTTCTCCTGTGTTTCCTTCCCACATACACTTTTGGGGCTCAGAGCAAGAATTTCTGAGAGACCAGAAGAGCTTCTTGGTATAATCAGAGGGGTTGTAAAACAGCATGATGCCCAATCAAAAGTGAGCTCTGAGACCTTTTTCCAAGGACCACAACCACACTCAGAAATGACCACAAAGCTTGTACAATTATACCACAGGCACATTTTGTCAGAGCTGCTGGGCAGAGGTCAGCTTGTGACCACTCCCTAAGACAGATCTGCTCATTCTGACTCCTATCACAAAGCACTGCTAAGTTTGTGACCCCCCCAGAGCTGATGCCAAGTCCTGCCAATATGTTCTGGGTTTCTTTATTGATGATGTGTGCCACTGTCCCTTAGTACTTGATCAGAAAACCAGTAAAGGGGAAATTGTGCTCGCAGAAACTCAGGGGCTCAGCAACTGGAGCAGGAAGTCGGTCTAGCTGTTCTAGGACCAGGGTTTCCCGGTGAGTGATAAACTTACGTGACTCCCTGACCATGCAGTATTATCTAGGTAGGGATGGGCCACGGGAGCTCCAACAATATTAGAACCCCTCATTGTGAAATCAGAATCCATGTTTTGTGCCCTGAGCAACTTGTCACTGCTACTGCTCCTCTTGGTCCTGCAGAGTTATCAGCAGAAGAAAATGAAAGGACAGTCTTACCCATGAGGAAGTTTGCTGAGGACGTAGTATCCTGTGTAGGAGTGTTGATAGATCTGAAACAGAATAAGAAAGTGCAAGCGTTGAGACAAAGGCTATAACTAAGATATTTTTCAAATCACTGAAAATTCAAGTATCAGTAAACTAAAAATACCCACACTTGAAGAGCTGGAGGGGTAGTTTCTTTTTTTTTTTTTTAACTAACTTAGTTAATTGTCATGTCCTGTTTCTTTCATTTTCATAATTGGTGGTGGCTTCTAGGGCAAGGAGAAGCTTGATGCCATCTCCATGGCTACGTGGCTGGTGATTAAATTGAGGCCACAGTTTCTGAGCTTGCTTAACTAAATATAGCACAAACTAATGAGCACACCTTGGCGATTGGAGACTGTCACATACAGTAAGACCATGTGCTGCCAGAGTTCCCCGTTAATTATGGCAAGCAGCCCAGCAGAAACTCCACTGTGACTCTTGAGTTTCAACACTGATTCCAACACAGGCTTAATTGGGCAAACTTTTGGCCCTCTATGTGACTCGCTGCACATTTTTACAAAATTTATGTTTATCTGAAAGATAGGTTTACAAAGAGACAGAGAGGAGAGACAGAAAAAGGAAGATCTTCCATCTGCTGGCTCACTCCCCAAATGGCCACAATGGATGGAACTAAGCAAATTCAAAGCCAGGAGCCAGGAGCTTCCTCCAGGTCTCCCATGTGGGTACAGAGTCCCAAGGGTTTGCGTCATCCTTCACTGCTTTCCCAGGTCACAAACAGGGAGCTGGATGGGAAATGGAGCAGCCAGGACACTTGCTAGAGTCTGTCTAGGATGCTGGCACCGCAAGGAAAGGATTAGCCTACATGCCATCACACTGGCCCCTTGATGCGCTTTCATTTAGCTTTGGAGAGCTAAATAAAAATACCAATGACACCAAGAGGGGAGTTAGAAGTAGCATGGCTTTCAAAACAGATGTAACCTGAAGAAAAGGAAAAATACCTAGAAGCCAAAACACAAAATGGTCTTTTCAAATTTCTGTAACTTCTAAACCTCAGAGGTTTCTCTGAATATTTTGAGCTAAGCGATTGCTCCTGGTATAAACACACTGAATACACAGAATACGGACCTCAAGGGAGACTACAACAGTTTAGCAATGATCAGTTGCTTCTATCTCTATGAATGGAGACACTCTCCGATATCCAGAACTGGATGGGTTATTCTGTAGGGTACATGTTCAGGGACTGTCTCATCTTTCTACAGCTAACAGGTGAGAGAAAACGTGTCATTGCACGGTGAAGGAAGAACGTGCTGAATACGGGAATGCATTTGCATTACTGACGACAGAAATGGACACGGGAATTTACTAACAGCACTCATTGTCTCCCCACTCTGGACCAGTGAACTCAGGGTGATTTGGAGAAAAAAAGACCAAGAAACCAAGTGAACAAACCTGCTTAAATCCCAATAATCTGGTGCTTACAGATAGCATGAAACTCCTGAAGAAGACATAAGGGGCTCAGAATGGCCTGCAGGAGGCAGAGGCACAGGATGAAAAATGTTGCCAACAAGGGGGCAAACTGTGCCAGGGAGCATTGCAAAACTGCTATGGCAACCCAGCAAGGAATGCCTGAGTCTAGTCCTCTTTGTTCTTTCTGAAGGGATTCGGGATGCCTCTCCAGATGACACTTTGCTGCTGTATCCTGAGTGGGCTACTGCTCAGAGAGAGCCCACACTGAACATTTGTGTGTGAGAAGAACCGCCTCCTCAGGTTTAAGAGCAAAAAGCTAAATGAATACGTCCTATCATCCCAGTTAATATACATGGCACTGGTACACAGTACCACTAAGCTCTATTCCCTAAACCAGCTTTTTATCTTACTTTATTTTCACAGTAGTCCTAGGCAGGATTCTGATTGTTGAGAATTGGAGGTTTATCAGGAGTACAGGAAGAGAGAGGACAGAGAAAAGGAAGGTGAGAAGGGAAACATAATAGAGTTAGGAGGGGGGGGGGAGGGACAGGGGGAGGGGGAGGGAGAAAAGCAGGGAGCCCAATTCTGTGTGTTGGCTGGACTTCGTGACTCCAACAGACGGGATGAGGTAGAAAAGATGGTGTTAGACTTCTGACACCAGAGTATAAAAGGGGCTGTGGCTTCCTTTTATCTTACCTGCTGTGAGGAAAGCCAGTTATCACACTGTGAGAACATTCAAGCAACCCCGAGGAACAGTCCATGGAAGTTTCTCCTCATTATGGTGCCAACAGGCAGCCAGGGAACGAACCTCTTGCCAGCAGCCATGGTTAGGGGTTGCTCACCCCAGGCAAGCTTTCTGCTGACTGCAATGAATGGCGGCTGCAGCTGACAACTGGATAGCAGCTTCGGGAGAGAACCTGAGCCAGAACCACTGAGAAAAGATGGCCCTGGATTCCTGAGCCACAGTAACTGTGTCACATGCATGTCAGTTTTCTAAAGACACTGGGTTACTCAATGATGGGTAAATGCAACACTCAATTGTACTCCAGAAAAAAAAACAAAACAAGTTACTATTACATAGGATGCACATAAACTTCTAGAGCGACTTGGTTCCCTCTTTATAAACATGCAGCAACTGTTCAGAATAACAAAGACATAACTTATCAAGATGGGATCAGGACAGAAGAGGTAGTGCTTGCAGGAGGTTGTGGAAATTACTGCAGAGATCGGTCCACAGCACTGGAGACGATCAGAGTCTGACACTGATGGTAGCTAGTGTTGATGGAGCAGAGATCCTGCCTTGGTACCACTGCTAGCTTTACAGTATGCGTGAATGTCTTTATCCTCTATGAGATGGATACTGATATCAACCATTTGTTCAGGCAGGACCCATTCAGGTAGGAAAGCGGGATGTTTAGTTTAAGCCAAATCCAGTGTAATGTAATTCAAGGTCTGTTTTCCAGACACTACTTTGGAAGATGCTTTCAAGAAACAAGGGAAGAAGAAAGAAAAGACACACAGAGAGCATTTGTCTCTTTGAAGTTTAACTGTGAAATAACAAAAGCAAATTCAAAAGCAGATTGTCTGAGAAGCTCAGGCTACCCAGAAACACAACAAATTGCAGAGCCAGAAAACACGCCCATTTTTTCTTGATAGAACACCTATTTCTTAATCTGCATAGAAATAGTGATTTAAATTCATTGCCTGGTCTTACCATTCCCCAATGGCCAGACTTAGATCTTGGCATGTTTCTTTAAATATAGAATTGACAGTGAAAATTAAACCATAAATATTTGTGAGTGAAACTAATGAGAAATGAAAGACCAATTTAAAATAACCCCACGGGGGGATGGCAAGATGAGAGTGTTATCATTTACAACACCTGAAAATGGGAAATGTAATAAAATATGGAATGTGGGATCACCAATTAGAAAGACTCAAACACAAAATGAGCAAATCGGGAAGTAGAGACAGAGGCTGACAAACTGGATCTGCCAAATGCCGGAACAGGAAAGCAGCATTGCAGTGGAGACTGTCAGAATGGAAGTGGAACAGCTGGGACTTGAACCAGTGCCCAAATGCAATGCTGGTGCCAAAGGTGGAGGCTTAGCTTGCTATGCCATGGCAGTGCTCCACCACTACCTCACCCCTGCTCTCTCTCTCTCTTTTTTTAAGAAAGGCAGAGTGACAGAGAGATGGAGACACAGAGCCATACCTGCTAGACTTCCTCCCATACCTAAACTCATGATGGCCCCAAGTAAGCTCTTCAACAGCCTTTAAAACCTCATCCTCCTCTGAGAGCGCATATTGCAGCTAGGGTTTCTTCATTCAGTACACCGAGGTGAAAATCTAGTTTTTCTTGAGTCTGATCTTTTCCCCTTATTTCCTCTACTCCAATTCAGTCAATCCCCAAAGAGTCCTCCACTGACTTCAAGTCCGGAGCTCTGTCACCCACTCCAGTGCCTTGACTCAGACCTCAAAGTCTTTTTAAAAACCAACTCCTAAAGTCTCAATCCTTGTCCCTCTTGAACTGTTACAACTCTTACAGCACAGATCACTTTGCCTCATTTTTATTATATTTTTGACTATTATTGACTTATTAACTATTCACTTCCCACGGTTGCTTAGCCCAAGTTTATGGATACAATGCATATCTCCTACACCAAAACAATAAACAACCAATCCCACCAACACAGCTCATCTACCACATCCTTCGGACCATTAAGGGCACGCCCCTGGTTCATTTTGCATATACCACAGCCCACTACAATATACTCCCAAAGTTCCCAAACTGCATTATTCCAGGAAAACCCTGGGTGAGGCAGGTCCCATTCATATCTATATTCTTAGATTGCTTCCTATTGAATTTATACTTTTGTACTTCGTCCATCTTCTGATTCCTAGCTCGCATTTTTAACACGCACTCTGTCTTTTCCCTAAGGATGTTTTTAACCTTCTTTTGTCCCAAATTCAGTGTTTTGAAAAGTCAATTCATTATTTTGCTGTCATCTTGGACCACCATGCATCTCTATAAAAAATACCTGAGAGTGGATGTTTTATAAAGGGTTAATTTGGCTCACAACTGTAGACGGCTCAGGCAGAATGATATGGGCCTTCGGATGTTTTCTCCCAGCTCTGTCACAACAAGGCAGACACATGGATAGGGAATGGTGCTGCGCAGAAGAATGAAGCCTGTGGAGTGTCCTTGTTTTGTAACAATACATTCTTACAGGAATTAATTCACTCCTGCAGTACCGATCCACAATAGGGGACCAGTACTAATCCACTCATGTCCTGGAACCATTAGGACCTACTGACTGGGCACCATACCTTACAGGGCCTATTACCTTGTTAGTCTCATACTGGGGAACACACTTCCAGTGTCAGATTCCAGCAACTGCAGAAGAATTCTTTATGTTCTTCTATTTACCTTGGCTCACAGCTATTCTCATTTCTTGTCACTCTCCATACTGTTGATGTACATTTATTTGGTTATCAGGTTTCACTGGACTTTCAAGCTTTGGAACATCCTTGAAATTCCAGGCAGCACTCCCTACTCTAGCTGCAGTGGCTTCATTGGGATGTTCTTCCTAAAGCC